TCTTTAAAAAGTATCGATCATATAAATCTCTCCATTTTGAAGGGAAGTTTATATAATTGTTTGTACAGACATGAGAAAAATCATCTAAGGTGCTGCTGCATGTTCAGGTAAAAATAGTGAAAACAAATATTAAAGAATTTGAGCAACAGAAAGCAGAAAAACATCTCAACCAGCAGGCTCATACAATCCCAGCACAACTTTCAAGTTGCCTCCCTTACCTTGTGGCACCTGACTTGGAAATCTTGCACAGACTTAAGACTGTCTCTTTCAGGTATGGGATAAGAAATTTCAAAGCACTGACTGAGATGATATGAAACAAGGTGGCTATAACCACCGTCCTGAAAATCCTTTCTCTCTATTATCTCTTCTCCAGTCTCGTCTACTCACTGAACAAGAGAAGCAAAAGGTTGCAGGAGCTCCACAGGGATGCACTCAGCCAGAAGAGTAAACAGTAGTAAAAAATTATCTTCTGGGATCTCCCCGAGAGATAGAAATAGAGGTGAAAGCCAGCCATACAAACTGCTGTAGCATTTGCAACTGCATCAACAGTTGTGAAACTGAAAACAGCCAACACGTCTGTCTGCATTAGTCAAAGCACTTTCCCTGTTCTCCTGGCCAGGAGATCATCTGCTACAGCAACCAACATCGTGCACGCATACGCTCAGGTATAAACCCAGAGTGATGATAATCAGGGAGACCCAAAATACCTAGATGATGAGAACCTTTTCGAGAGATACCATGGATGAGTTAGGTGGGTCGCCTTTTGTGCAGCCTTGGCATTGTGAAGGAAGCCAGGAAAGCAGTGGTTTTAGTTTTGTTAGCCTGCTGCCTTCTACTTTACAAGGACTACGTAACACACTTCCAAACTCTTTTTTTTTTTTGACAAACTGCTAGTGTTAGAAAAAAGATTGTAATTCATTTAGCAACAACAGTCAACAAGCTTTTCATTACTGATTGGGAAATGAATACCAAAAAAAAAAATTTATGCTTAAACATGAAAAGTCCAAAGATGTTAGGTGTTTGTCAAAACAAATTGTAAGAGACAAATTTGTGTTCCATACAGAAATAGATTTATTGAAAATCTTAAGGAAAACAATATATTACCTCATTCTGTCTGGCCTGCTATCACCTGATTATCATGATGGCAAATGTTTGTAATAAAAATCAGGTAATAAGCAAGCTACTATTTTATACACTAACTTCAAATTTTATAGGCTAACTTCAATCTCAGAGCTGATTTAAGCAGTACCTTCACGTAGAACATGTTTTTCTTTTTTTTTTTTTTGCATGTCTGTTAAGGCTGGGGTGATTAAAGGGTTAATTAGAATCTTATGCTTAGTTCGCATGTTGTGAGATACATCTCATTTTATAAAAATAGCTTTATGACATGGGAAAAAGCACCGGCTTTTTCATTATAATTGCCCGTCTTGTGTATTGGCAGCATGAGAGTCCAAACGAGAGACTGTAGACAATTTTTAAATAATCCATTTCCAATTTTCTTTTATTATTTATAATAACTGAACTCTCTTGCTTTCTTGATGTTCCTATTGCCACAATGTTCCTGAAGCTGTACTTACTGTGTCAGCTGCCTCTACACTACGGCTATAAAGGCTGTACGGAGCTGCACACAATCAATGCAAAATAAATGCAGTGAAATAAAATCGTGTGCCTTGTAGCCCACCACAGCAACGCCAACAGCACCCACCTTTGCATTGGCGGGAGTAAACTGGGGTCAAGCGATTCCGAATTTCACTTTTTTTTTTAATGTTTCACGGCTCACATGCACTTTAACCTTTGTTCTTGGAGGGGCCACGCATTTTGTTTTCTTTTCTGGTTATTAATTTTTATGGGACGCTTAACGGCCACGGCAACGCGACGCCCGCTCTCCGACGTCTCCGCCGTGCGCGGTGCGCTGCGGCTACGTGCGGCCCGCTGTCCAGCGACGCCCGCTGCCACCCCCTTACTTCTCATCCAGAGAAGGCGTTATTCTGAGACTTTCTGAGGACCTGGCACGTATCACCAGGGTGGAGAAGCCTCCCACTGCACCGGCAAGAAGCCCCAGGCCTGCCACAGCGACTTGGCGGGGGAGGCGCGCCTCGGGCCTGCAGCCTTGAGCCTTCCAGGGCAGAGGGGCCGGGCCCCCGCCGCTGAGGCGCTGACCGCAGAGAAACCGGGCCCGGCGCTGAGGGAGGCGGCGG